CCAGTCGAATCCATTACACTCACTTATGTGCTAATACCCTTCGGAAAGGTATGAATCCTCTTCCTCTCCCTCCAGCTATGGGTAAAATAGCAGGACAGACTGGGTTCTATAGCCTTGGATGGCAACTGGTCTAGGAGAAGGACAACTCTGAATTCAAAACCTGCGGAGGGTCGGTTGGGAACTTTGTGGCACTCGATGCACCAGGTCTCTGTATTCGTCCCTTCAAAAAGTGTGGATGGTCCTGCACGAAGCCTTCACCACTATAATCAAATCTCATGTGCCAGTGTCAGGCTGTCGGTTTCCTGAAACTGATCTGCTTGACCCTCATACATTGAATCTTGACAGGAGAGACAACTATCTATCTATCATATATATATATATATATATATATATATATATATATATATATATATATAAAAAACAAACAGACCAACAGACACTCTATGGGATCTGGTTATCAGATGTGATAAGGTAATTTGATTTATGGTCCCCACTTATCCATAGAGATACCAATGCATTTTTCCTTAAATACATTTTTATCTTTCTTTTATTCTAATCTGAGGGAGATATGCTGTTGGTGAATCACTTCCTTTATATCTTTTCCATTTTGTCCCATTATCTTCACACACATATTCTAATGTGTTATTACTTTCTGAACATAGAGATGTCTGCCTCTTTAACCACAGATTATTACCTGACTGTCTTTCTGTTTTTATAATATATTTTAATCCTTTCCTTTGTTTTGGCTCAGGTGCTTTCAGTGATTCTCAGGAGTCTGTGTTGTTCAATGTGCCCAAATTTCAGAGCTATGTTGTTCAGGAAGTGACCAATCATTGCAGTCTACATTTAAAACAAGTTGCTGATATACCACGACATTATCGCCGAACAAACAGAGAGGTAAGTTTCAGTTTATGAAATATGTCCTATATCAGTGAGTTTGAAAATGGAGGCAAAATGTTTACCTTTTATTACAGAACTTTGCACAGAAATGTGAGAAACTACAGCAAAAAACATTTTTGATTTCCATTCAAGATAAGTTTGAATCGAACTAATATATATATAAAATCGAATATATATATATATATATATATATATATATATATATATATATATATATATATGGGCAGCAACCTTTCTTTTAAATATTTGTTGAATTTAACAGACAAGGACAATTTGAATTTTTTTTAGTTTTTCCAGCATTCTTACATTTTCTGTTTGATGGAAGTGCAAAAATTGCCTGTATTCTTCCTTGTACCAAATGGTTTTGGCCACTTTTTTAGCCATTTTCAAAGGGGTTTGTTTTTTAGGTGTTATTAATTTCTTTCCATGTTTGACTGTTGTAGTTTTTGTGTTGCTTGAATTGAAGTACTGTTTATACTGTGCTTTGCAAGTTTAATGTGGCTGGAATTCGAGTTGGCTTCTTTCTATTTTAAAAAAAAAAACTTCCAACACACCATTCCATTAGTGAATAAAGTGAGATTTATGCTGGGTGCCAGATGTTTTATGTAAACAGCCTTTTTACATTATATATATTTGTGTGTGTTATTTATGTGGCATCCCTTGGTTCTGAGAGACCATGGATCTGAGCCTGGTGATTTTTTCAATGCACTTGATGTTGATAGCTCAGTGTCTGTTTTGCCAATTGAGTACAGGGAATGGAACACTGGAGTGTCTTTTCCTGGGCAAAGACCTAAACCTAATCATTGTTTAAAAGAAAACGTTGGAGTACTTTGTGTCTTAGTCTCCAAAATGTATTTTGAGTATATCTGCTAAAAATGAATGATTCCTTCTTGCTTAAAAGAAAATATCTGAATACTACACACACACACACACACACACACGCACACACAGAGATTAGGTTATTGAGAATATTCATTTGGTTTAGTAAGTAAAAAGTATTCTTAACTTTATTGAGCTATTGTATTTTGTTCCACCATTTTTCCTACCTTCCAGTCAATTCCATAATTATTTTCCTTTAAAATTTCTCTTTTTGACCAAACAACTGTTCTCAGTGTATAATCTTCCAGAGAATTGATATTCTTTCTTTCATTAAAAGAATTCTGTAAATAAATAAATAGGTAATCTAAGAGTGTAATCTCTGTTGAAAATTTCTTTTGTCTGGTCACCAAACATACATGGTCTGGCAATTAGTGAATAATATATCCTTCCTATTAACTAATTCCTGGTAGACATTGTTCATTAATTTCTGCTTTCAGTTCATCCATTCAAAAGCAGTATATATTTGAGCTATTTGTTTTTTCCAAAAGTGCTCATAGATTTCTTTCCAATCCCATTATATACACAAGGCTTCCAGTTAGATCACATTGAAACACCAGTTTCCATACAATCACTGAAGTTAAGCAATGTCAAGACTGGTCAATATCTGACTGCTTGGGAATACTAAGTGCTATAAGCTTGGATGTGCAGGTGCTGTAATGGATAGTAGTTTGAAATTGTTAATCAGAGAACAGAGTTCTAATTCCTGTTGGGTTCATTATATTCACTTATGCACAAATACCCTTGGGAAAGGCATGAATCCACCTTTTCCCACACCAGCTACAGGTTGATTGATGGAACTTGTATCACTAAATCAAAACAATTTTTTTTTTTTTTTTTTTTTCAATCTAGAAATGATTTTTGTCTTTGGATAGCCTGCAAGGGTTGGTTAAACCATAGAAAACAAATCCATCAATCAAAAAACATTATATACAAACCATCAGTTTGGAAAAAAATCAGATTTTGGTAAAGTCAGTTTTGGTTCATTTTGTTTGTGTCACTATCTTTTGTGCTTTTGATTGTTGTAAAGTATCCACTTTTCATTGCCCATCAAAAATGGAACCTATTTAAAGGGGTTCCAATAGATTCTTATGGAGAAACCACACATCAAATTAACTAACATGACAAAATAAAGTTTTTGCAAGTTGTTTTTTCGTGATGGGATATTTTGAGTATGGTGAATTTCTCTTGCATCCTATAATGTTGATTATTCTCAAGCTATAGCTTGATTCAATTACAACCAACCTCAACTGTGCTACTAAATGACATTACAAAAAAATCTCCAGCATGAAAGTCACAAAACACTTTGTATGCATTTTTTTTAACTCCACAATTTTATTCATCTGAGGCAGATTTTTACCTTTCTTAAAAAAGCATAAAAGTAAAAACATTGCTTATTTTCTTCCATTTTCAGTGTTAGAATCAATAAATGAAGATTCCGCCCTCCTTTTTTTTTTTTTTTTAAATATTTCTGATACTGTGAGCATATACAATTTACAAAACTTATGTTGCCTGTTCTCAATATATTAGGTTTTTGAGAATGTTAAGCCAAGAAGACGTAACAAGTCACTCTCATGAAGGTTAGCATCAGCCATGCTGATGGTCTTTTAGGTGATTAATAGAGAAAAGTTTTGTTTTGGAGGCATTAAATTGGGACAACAAAGGAGGAATTCCAACAAGAAGCAGCATCATTGTCTTTATAATCATTCATTTCCAGTAAATAGCAATTTACTACTTTTGCCCAAAACTGGCCAGTACAGCCAGTCAGCAATTCCATAATGCAGCAGCGAAAGTGTTAATGCATGCTGATATGGCATTCAAGTGATATTTTTTTTGCCTGAAGTTAGTCTTAACTGCTCCTCATTCTGATAACAAAAACAAACTTTTTCCAGAAAATGTAGATATGGGTTAATTTTCCCTCTCTCTCTGTCCCCATTACCTAGAAATGAACTTAAAACCTTGACACATACAAGTAAATGTGTATTAACCATTATTTAGGGGTTAGGAATAAATATCTCTTGAAATGCTACCTATTGTGCATATTAAAAAATTTTTAAAAAAGACATTTAGATTAACTGCGACTAACCAGTTTTGGGTTAAGTTCTTTGCATGTTCACTCCAATTACTGTTTTATTTTTATTGATTCCACTCTAACAATTTATTCATCCTGGAAAGTTGTGATAATAAAAACCAAAATGAAAAGACAAGCCAAAAATGAATAATCAAAAATTAAAGACAATTTCCATACAACAATAATATGGTAATTGCTCTGATAAACTTTCCACTATGGAACCTAAACTTCATGAATTTCAACACAGTACTAGATTGGTGGCAAGGTCTCATCATTTTACAGTTGAAATGACTAGATGTAACCGTAAGTTTTATGCTAACAATTTCTTCTCTTATTGCTTGAGAAACTCTCTGACTCCATGCTTTCCAGCCAACTTTGATCTTCAAAATTTTAGATGCAATGTCAATCAATATCTTCTGTCTTCATTTTTTGTTCTTTTATTGTCCTCTCTTCTTAATAGTAGTTTTTCTCATATTCTCGAACACTCAGTAATCTCTTGCATCCTAGTGGCTTTATTGCCTTGCTTGGAGTGAAATGATTTTTAAAAAAAATACCTTTATTTCAAAATTGCCTTAACTTTCTTCTTTTCCCCCATATTTTATGTTAGGATTAAAATATTTTAATTCAGTTATTTTCAGATTTTTTTTTTTTTTTTTTTTTCCCCAGGTACCCAGCAAACCGTCCTCATACAGCACTGGCCTCTTCAAGCCTCTCACAATGTTTTTCGATGAACACAAAATTGTTTTAAGGGAAGCAAAAAGAGAGGAAATTGCACGAGCAGTTTTACAAAACCTTGCTGAACAGTAAGCATTAAATTTTGCACAATTCTTTTTAGCTTGACAAATTAACCAAAAAATAATCATCTCATTCTAGCAGGATTTCTGAAAAGTCTTGTGTAAAAACAGCTATAAAAATGATATAATTGTGTCATTACAGGAAGAATTTGTATGAGTTCATTAATTTTCTAGAAGATATTTAATGTACTCTCTTGTATTGAATAATTAAATGCTTTTGGTGCAACCAAATTTAAAAGGTAATGATTGTCAATACCTCATAAATAATGGACTATTCCATTTTGATCGCAAGGAAGCATGGAAAGAGATGTTGCTTGGTTTCAGGGAGAAAGAAAAAGTGATAACATTTATGTTTTTAA